TCAAAAGTCATTCCAGTCTGTTGGAGTGATGTTTGAAGATTCTGTACATACTCAGTCACAAAAGACACCCATTAAATTTTTGGCCTCCATCCTGTGTACCGTGTGACGAAGTAACGATGAACTTGGAAGAATAATTGCTTCCCAGATGAGGGCCATTTGAATTTTCTTCTGATGTTTTCCCCTCATTACTGTTTGTTTCTGTTTTGTTCGATGCCTCTGTATTTCATCACCTCTCTCAACACTTCCAACCTATCTCGTGGCGTTTACCGCCAGAGCGTAAATAGAATGTTGCCGTGCGGTCCTGCGCTGTGCATTGCTCGATGGACTTGTTTACTTCTTTGCTTAGAAGCTGCGTTGGGCGCTGTTTAAAGTCACATATTTCATTCAGACAGTGGTTAAAAGAAATCCGGTTTACATGTTAGTTTAAACTTAGGTCGATTGGGTGGGGGATAAATTTCTAAAGATTGTTGTATTCACACACAAAGGCATACTTATGTATTGCCAGGTGCCTTAGCAGCATAACAGCCATATGTATGTAATGGATGGCTGATTATGTCATAGCAGCGTCTGAACATGGCCAGAACTTTGAGTCAATTGAAGGGCGTTGCCACCGATAGAGAGCTGGTTTGTCAGAGGTTTTCAGTCAGCGAGATGAAGAGAGAAAGGCGAATTAAGATAGTCAGTCCATGAGGCATTAAGCGTGCATATGTTTTTCCACAACACCTTATACACTCCTTGTAATTGTTCTTTATAATTTGTTGTGAATGTATACTATTCTGAGAAAAACAACAGTTGATGTTTCTTTTTTATTGACGACAGTCACTGTCGCTAAGTTTCGCTGTCCACGTTCGTTTGTCTCGTGCGATTTTTCGTCACCAGTTTCTATATCCCTCTGTTACCTCATCGTACCATCAGCTGGGCTCTTGCAGCCTCTTTGGAACCACTCCACAAACACTGAAATCCACCGGTCATCTGTCAGTCGTGTGATATAGCTAACCGTTGTCCGACCAGAACTGCATCGAGGGAACTGAGGACCATATTTGTATTTTTGCCATTTCTTTGGACCCTAGTAAATGGTTTTTGGCTGCTGCCGATGTTGCCAGGCGTCTTTAACAGAATACCTGTTTGCCCTTAACCCTGGAAGAATGGGGTTCCTGCTGATCGCTTTGAGGCTTTGCCCGCTCGGAGATTTTCTCGGTGTGCTTTTCTCCGCCGTACGTCGGAGCGGTTCCTCATCTTGCAAAATACCGTTGATAGTAACCACCGTTATTCAAATAAATTTGATTGTAATTGATCACGAGGTTGAACTAATAATTGCTCCTTTTCTTTTATTTCGCATTTTATTTAGAATGAGTACTTGCCGCGCCATACTGCACCCTCAAAAGCAGCTCCTCGCTGACCGTTCGTGCTGCGAATGAGAGCTGTAGGCGTGAGAGGCAACTTTTGTTGGAGGGAAATCAGAGAGATCGATAAGGCAGTCAAAACGGTGAGTGGCGAACGGTGTTTAAAGATCTGTGACAGTTGACCGATAAACAGGGAACTCGGTCTGCCCTTATGCAAGACGCTGATATTACCCGTTGGTAGGTCAGAAGGAATGCCTCAGATGATGGATAGAGCGTTTCCAACAGCTGCTTAACAGCTTCCTTCCAAATTCGTCATTTCTGATGGTTAATTATCTGCTGGCATTAGAGATTAGTTCAGATCCACCCATAAAAGTAGAAATCCAAGAAGGGTTGCTATGCCTCAAGGTGAAGGATGTCTTCCGGGTAGATTCGATTCCTCCAGAGATAAATAAATATGGAGTTTTAGAAATGCTCTATGCCCTGTTTCATCAAATATAGACCTATAAATTTTTCCAAGGAGAATAGACGTGTCCCTAGATTTAAATGGAGCAGTGTTACCGTGTTTCAATTATCGTGGTATCGCACTTACACTACATTCAACTGCCGAGAAACTTTTCTCCTGAATTGTCCTGGGAAGGCTGAGGCAGACAGTTGATGGCAGTCTCTGGACGGGTACTATTGCCCTGAACAAATTTTCACCCTGCGTATAATCATTAAGCAGTGTCCGTAATTCAAGTTGCTTTGGTTTGCCAGGTTATCTTCTTTAACGCCGCGTTTGATTCTCTATATTGTCCAACGATGTAAAAAATCTTGAAATGTCGTAAGATTCGTAATTACATCGTTTTTATTTTTGAAAAGATGTATACAGAATCCATGTCTGCGGTCAAAGTTGAAGGACAACTATCTCCCTTTCCCCCGAAGCATTTCCCTTTTTACCGTAGAGTTTGCCAGTGCGACGTGCTTTCGCCTTTTCCATTCAACTTTGTTCTGAACTTTCTTCTCCGAAACACTTCTGCCTCTTCTAAAGACGAAGATCTCAGTCTAGAAGGAAGGCACAGTTCAAGATATCCTGCTAGATATCTTGTTGATCTGGAGTACACGGATGATATTTTCCTGTTGAGTAATACCTGAGGCAAGCTCTGACACGTGAAGGCTTCCGTGTGTGACATAGATGCAAACGCCCGCCTCTTTCTTAACTCTCGGAAGTGGAAATTTATGAATATTTTATTCTCGTGCGGTACAACTGATCTGTAGAAAAGGAAGTAGAACAAGGAGTAGAGAAGCTGTTGATGAGGTTGACCAGTTTAGACATATCGGCTCCATACTCTCCTGCGATGGTACTCTGAAGATCATCGAGTGCTTTTGGAAATTTATGCAATATTTTTCACAGAAAGGAGTTACACTTCCCATACGAAAATCCACCTGTACCTTGCCTCTTTCAGGTCAGGGTTGTTCGGCATAGAGACAGCTTTCATAACTAATCAGGGATCAAGAACGGCGGTTGCATTGCATACAGCATCATTGGCTTCGACTGATGATGAGGTTTAAATGGCTGTCCTTTTCCGTACCGTAAGGAATGACTGTTCTTTTCCGAGTTCAGATACGCTTTGTAGGTGTTGTAGATGATTAAGAAATGGAAATTAGTCCTTTGGACAAACCAGTTAGCATACACCATTTACTGCAGCCAATGAGCTGAAACGCTACTGGTTTGAAAAGAATTAATGGCTGTTAAAAAATCACTATTTTAGCTACCTGTTGCCAGTTACTCTTTTACCCTGAAACAGCCATTGGTACATTTCGTTACTCACACCGTGTTCCAGATTTGTCACTTGGTCACTTATGTTTTTATACATATACGTACTACTGTCTGCATTTTAAAAATTTCCTGATGTTTCGGTTGTTCTTTCTGCAGTGTACAGTATGTTGGTTTTTACTCTCGCGTAGAGCGTTTCCGTGGTTCGTTCGTTCATTTCAACTTCATCGTAGGTTCGGATTCAGGGAAGCTAAGCAGTATTTATTGAATTCTTTGTGCATACGGATTGCTAATCAACATCAAGTCATCCATAATTGTCATTTTTGTTGTCGTCTCCTCTTCCTCATCTTCCTCCTAACCATTTTAATTAGTTTTTCATACAACTGATATAATTGCCACATCTACCAGCTATTGTTCTTCAACTGGCTTGTGTTTCAATCGCTTTTGATTTACTTCATTGAATGTCCTATTGAATACTTTGTGCAAGTTGTGTAATTTTAGGTCATACCCTTATTTAAAAGAATGTATGAACATATCTATGGACGCATACCTGTCTCTTAGAATGTTTTGTCTACTTATCTGCCTACTTGTTTGTTAACTATATATTCATTTATCTGTCTGTCTATCTGCTTCACTTTGGATATAAATGATGCAGGGATATATACGTAAAGAGGTAGATACATGAATAAATTTGTATGTGAAGAAACTGGCAGATGGATAATTGGATAGGTATGCCGACAGACATGTACATGGATGAAGAGAGACAAATACATTGACAGGATTACAGATAGATAGCCAGACAAGCAAATAGCTTGTTAGTTATATAGGAAGTTTGCTTGAAGAACAGGCAGACATTTAGTGAAGATAACTTGTTAGGCAGATAAATATTCATACAAATGGTTTAATAGAATTTGAAAGGCAGGTAGATAAGTGGGTAGACGAACTGACAGTCAGTAGTTAGGTAGACAGATAAATTGATTGATCTGTAGGTTATTACAAAGGTGAAAATGTAGATAGGCCGATAAGTTATAGCACATCTTTTTGGGTGGATTGATGCATAAGTATACATATAGATAGATTAGCAGATAGACTGATAGATAGCCACAGAGTAGATAGATAACACGGTACAATTGATGTGAGTATTAGGAAGACAAATTTCCGAAAGGCTACTACTTTTCAAATTTGTTTTTTCCATTTCAGTGATGATTTTCTTTGCTGCATACATTTTGCTTATGTTTGGTAAAGAACTGTCTTTATGATTCTGTTCCAGCAGTGTAATGAATGTGCGGACTTTGCATTATATGTAAGAAAGTTATGTAAATAAATTTACCTTTACTTCTTCGTACTTGGCCGGTATTTAATCACGCCAGCATGGTATTTCGCCCATTGCATTTTCAGTGTTGTGGGCAAGTCAGTATTTTGCGGGCAACGTGGTAGAGATAATTAACTTTAATTAGCACTTTTTTCGGTCCAGTTTGTTGATCTATTGTTCATCATAGTCGAATCGAATCACTAAGTGTCCATTTGTTCCACCTGATCGCCGAACTTCCGCCTTGCTGCACTCGCTGGTGTTCTTCAACCTGGCTGCAGACACTATGTACTGGAACTAGGCGCTTTGCTTGTAATATTTAAAAAATATTTTTATGCATATTATTTTCTGCTTATGATTTGCATTACTTCTTAGATGGTTTGACTGTGTCTATTTCCACTGAGGAAATCAGCACAAGCGTCACACGATGGCGAACAAAGTGGGAGGCACAGATGGTGGGAACACCGCCGATACGACCGTCATGAAAGGTTGGTTGTACAAATGGACTAACTACATTAAAGGTTACCAGAAGCGCTGGTTCGTGCTGTGCAACGGCACTCTGTCTTACTACAGGTACAGCTACATCGTTTATGATGCATGTAAGTAGTTAGGCTGCCAACGTTTCTGCTTTTCTTGCATTCGACTTCAATAAAACTTTACTTATTGGCATCCAATTTTAACAGAGTGCAAAAGAAAAAATGTTGACCGAAGGTCGACTTGCTCTCCAGATGAACACAAGTCTGATGAAAGGAAGAAGGGAAGAATTTAAAGATCTGTTTCTGACAACATCTATGTGGAAGATATTATTCCTGACATTTTCTTACCCAACGTCGTCATTAAGTACGTGTAGGCCATGAGGATTTTCGAATTAACCAAAATGTCGCTCTAACTATCCTTTTATCTTCTATCACTGAAATACTGACGACTAAAGCGCCAAAAGCTTTTCCCGAATAAGACAGGATTCCATACCGGGTGCTCCTTCTGTGACCAAACTTTTGTTCCCTTTAATATCATTGGGCCATGTCGAAGTTTCCGGTAACTTTATTTTGCCACTTTCTTCGACGTTACGACTGCATTTGATTCAATACATTGTCGAACAATATAGAAAACGATCTTTAAACACCGTCTACAAGATGCCTGAATACCTTTTCCATTCTGGAAGATATGTGTGCACTGTCTGTTGAAAGTAGCAGTTCCGTTTATTTAAGCACAATGCAGGCAAATTCTCGAGTGTCAACGTTTCAGCCCGTTTCTCATGGGCATTCTTCGATGCAAAGAGCTGGGTAAAGTGAGCTTTACGATTTTTACCGTGTTGATCCTGTAAGTTAAGGGATTATATTTACGGGTGCAATCAGAATCCTGCTATTCTTGGTTTTGGTGACATTTTCGTCAGAGAGTGACAAAAATGCTAGTGCTCGGACAAGATCTTTTTAATCCCAATTCAGGGACGTGATCTTCGTTAATGAGAGTCCAACTGTGTTCTTTATGGCCTCATCAACTAGCTCTGCCCATTCCCTCTGAATTAGGAGATATTTTAATTTCCGGCTGTTAGCACTATTATTGTTCCCTAGAGCCTTATCTGATGTGTCATGATGGCATCGTACTGTCTGTCTCTTCTGTTTAGAACGGGTAACACCCCAGCTGTTGGCAGAAGGCGAGAAACTGGCTGAGTTTTCGTTGTCTGTCTCAAATTTCCACAAGTCCGAGCGGCCTTTCTTTGCCCGGGGACAACTGAGCAGCTATAGCGTTCGATAACAGAACTATCGCAAAGGACAGGATGCCTAGTTATGAGGGAGACTTTATCACGGCAAGGGCCCCTAACCCTGTTCCATTTTCATCCGGGTTTGAGAGAGGCAACGGCGGAATTGTGAGTTAAAATTTAGATATTTATCAGTGTTAATAAGGTTTGCAATAAACTTTAGCTTTGTACCATTATCAGAGTCAATTATTATCACAACAAGAAAAGAAACGAATGAACGCATCGAAAACGAAAATCCTAGTGCTTTCTCGTTTTCCTGCCCGTTGTTCTTTTCAGATTAACGGAGAGGCAGTGGAGCAGCGGCTGCGGAAGTTCAAGTACTTCAGAGTCGTATTTCCCTGTGATGGAAAATGTGAGGAAGAGATCGACCGGCGAATTCGAGTATCCAGTAGCGTTCTGCGTGAACTGGCCCGATGCATTGTGACTAAAGCAGAGCTCAGTCTGAAAACTAAGCTCTCGGTGTTTAAGTAGATCTGTATCCCCATGCTTACCTACGGTCATGAATCGTGGACCATCACCGAAAAACTTCGAACCCGGGTACAAGCTGCTGAAATGGGTTTCTTAGACGAGTCGCTGGCCTTACGCGTGTCGACATGGTCCGGAATAGCGACATCCGGGGGAACCTTGGTATACAGCCTTTGCTTCTCCAGATTGAGAAGTCACAGCTGCGATGGCTTAGGCATGTGTTGCGGATGCCTCCAGATAGGAAGGCTAAGCAGTTATTTCTTGCAAATCCTTCCGGCAGAAGACCCAGGGGACGGTCAAGATTAATCTGTTCCAGACTCCAGTTGTCATTTGCCGAAGCCCAGACTCTGGCACAAGATCGGGAACGTTGAGCTCTGTCTGACGCGTCTGCCTCCGCGACGCGATAGGAGAAGCGGCCATGGAGGATGAAGAAAAGAAAGGCGGGAGTTATCTTTTTCAGTGAATAACCGATTATTTCGCAAAGTTGCCTTCGTCGAAAAGGACGCATACTGCTCGAGTTTCACCATGCTTGCATTCATTTGGACTTCAGCATCTGCGTTTGTG